AAATGAAAAGCAACAGCGACACTCAGGAAGCTGGGGAGATCTGGGTAGGATCTCCAGATTGAATCAGTTCTTGTACTCTGGCTATGAGAGCTACCCCAGCTGTTCAAGATGTTATATCTTCAGGGAGACAGTAAAGGCTCCAGGGATTTGTGTTACTTCTTTTTGCTCTTGTTTTGTCTTTTGCGACAGGGTCTCACTATGTAGTCATGACTGTCCTGGAACTGTCTGCCTAGATCAGGCTGCCTCAACTCACAGAGAACTGCCTGCTTCTGCTTCCCAGGTGCTGAGATGAAAGGGCTCTGTTATTTCTTAAAAGTGTGTGTGTGTCTGTGTGTGTGTGTGTCTGTCTGTCTGTATGTATGTACATGTGGTGTGCACATGTATATAAGTTCTAGCAGACTGTAGGAGCAAGCACCAGGTCACTTGGAGCTGGAGTGACAGGGAGTTCTGAGTCACCTGAAGTGGGTCCCAGGAAACAAAGGAATGATTACAAGAATAGGAGGTGCTCTTAGCTGCTGCCAAGCTCTCTCTCCCGTCCTTTTGTGGGTTTTGTTTTGTGTGTGTGTTTGGGGGGGGGGGGTTGTTGTTGTTGCTGCTGCTGCTGTTGTTGGCTTTTGAAACAAGGCCTCACTGTGGAGGCATTACTGTGTAACCCTGGCTGACCTTGAACTCGAAGTGATCCACCTGCCTCTGCCGAGACTAAAGGTGTATGCCACTATGCCAAGCTCCTTTGTGTCATTTCTTAAAACTAAATGTGAACTTGTCAGGACAGGTAAATGAAACAAGCCAACCATAAAAGGACATACAACAGTGTGATTCCACCTACATGAAATACCTCGAGTGGCTTCTTTAGAAGAAGACTGTACACAGTTGCTGTTCTCAAGGCCAGCGAAGGGAGGATAAGGAGGGCGGGTGAATGGGAGACACTTCTTCAGTGGGACCAGAGTCTCAGTTCGGGAAGACGGGAAGGCTCTGGTGACATGTAGGCAGTGGCAGCACAATCATGTGAACATTCTTACGTACTGGACTATACACAGAGAAGCGGTTAGGTGGGGGGCCGGAGAGATGGCTCAGCAGCTCAGAGCACTTACTGTCCTTCCGGAGGACCTGAGTCTGGTTTCAGCACCCACACTGGGCAGTTCACACCCCCTCTAGCCGAAGCTCCAAAGGATCCAAGGGCTTCTTCTGACCTCCACAGCCATGTACACAAGTGGCATTCATCGACACACATACACATATGTACACATAAGTAAAAATACGTTTCTTAAGTGGTTAAGTGGTAACTTGTCTGTAATTTTACCACACACACACACACACACACAATCAAATGGACCATGAATCTCAGTTATGTAAGGTAGTGTTGTTTTAATATTAACAATGTGATTATTCATCTTTCTCCCCCTACACAAGGTCTCAAAGAGATTGGTTGGCTGGTTTCTTGTGCTCTTTGAGGTTAAGGAAAAATCTGCTTTTCTAACTAAATGTGGATTTTACCACGAGGTGTTTGGTTTATGAGCTGGGCCCTGTTTACCTGCAGCCATTTCAGGTGATGGGCAGTTTTTGTTTTTTCTTTTTTAGATTTTAGCTTCTCGGCAACCTTTAGGTTTTTTGTTTGTTTGTTTGTTTGTTTGTTTGTTGAGACAAAGTCTCACTGTGTATCTTGGCTGTCCTGAAACTAGCTCGGCCTTGAACTTACAGACGTCCACCCACCTCTGCCTTGCAAGCACTAGAATTAAAGGCAAGCCCCACAACATCTAGATATGACTGATGACTAATCTTGTCAATTTGACTGAATTAAGAGACTCCTAGGAGCCAGGCCTTCAATCCCAGAGTGAGAGCGAGTTTCAGGATGACAGCCAGGACTACACAGAGAAATCCCATCTCAAAAAACCAAAAAAGAGACAGACCTAGGAGATCAATAAGGAGTCTCTCAGGCTCTGTTCTGTGAGGGCTAGCCAAGGAGGGCTCTGATGATGGTTTAAGCCATTGATGGATTTGGATCTGCGCAGACTGTGAGGCGGTGTTGGAATGGTGGATGAGGGGGAGGGGGTTGTGCTTGGTTGTCTTGTCCTGCCTCTTCTTGTGATTACCTCCTCTGCTTCCTCTCCCCTCTGATGTGCATTGCTCTGCCACTCTGTCCACATGACGATGAACTGAGACTGTGACCAGTCCTTGATCGATGGATTGCTCCTGCAGAGGACTCAGGATTGGTTCTCAGCACCCATCTTAGCTCACAGTCACCTGGAACTCCAGTTTCAGGTGATCCATTGCCCTTTTCTGACCTCAGCAGGCACTAGGCACACACATGGTGCACATACATACATGCAGTCAAAACATTCATCCATGTAAATAAATAGGAGGAGGAGGAAGAAGAAGGAAAAACTGAGCATGGTGCAAACCATTAATCCCAGCATTCATGATGTATAAGCAGGCAGACCTCTGAGTTTGAGGTTAGCCTAATTTACGTGGTGAGTTCCAGGTCAGTCAGATCTACATAGTAAGACCCTCCTAGAGAGAGAGAGAGAGAGAGAGAGAGAGAGAGAGAGAGAGAGAGAGAGAGAGAGAGAGAGAGAAATATATATATATATATGTATATGTTTTGCCTATTAATCAAAGTACTCATGGAGCTGTGAGGCAGGAGGATCATGACTTGAACATCTAGGGCTATAGCAAGACGCTGTCTCAAAATAAAAGTGTTGTGGGTGGGAAGCAAGTGATAGGCAGCAGCCTGCGGCGCAGAGAGGTTAGAGAGCTTTGCTGGCGTTGCATTTTGCGGTAGAAAAGATGCATGCTACCCATACAGGAAATGAGAGCAACTGTGTGCATGTGCACACGTGCACCGAAGGCTTGCTCTCTCCTAGGAACTGAGAAGATAGGTAGGTTGATGTTTGCAGGATCTTGGGGATAGGAGCCAGAGAGATGGCTCAGTTCTTATGAGAGCACTTGCTGCTCTTCTAGGAAACCCAAGTCCTCAGCACCTGTGTCCAGTGGCTCACAATCCCTTGTAACTAGTTCCAGGTGATCCGACGCCCTCTTCTGGCCTCCACAGGCTCCCCAAACCGAACATGGCATGCACTTAAACACATGAATACACAAATAAAAGTTTAAAACAATCTTGAGGATAGCACTTCAAATTCTAAAATTAGATTTCCTTTTTTTAAAAATAAGATAAATCCAATCCAGGAACAAATAGCTATTCTCATGGCCAAAGACAAACAAGAAATTAATAAGACACTTGTAGGGGCTGGAGAGAGAGCCCAGTGGGTAAGAGCACTGGCTGCACTCACAGGGGACCTGGTTCGATTCCCAGCATAGATGCTCTAAACCAACTATCACTCCAGTTCCAGGGGATGCAGCAGGCACACATGTGATGCACACATATACATGCATGTGGACAAGCATTCATACACATAAAACCTAGTAAGACATTTTTCAGAAAATGTGATCATAGTATGAGGAAACTGTCAGGTGTGATGAATACATTCATATATAGCCGGGCGGTGGTGGCGCACGCCTTTAATCCCAGCACTCGGGAGGCAGAGCCAGGCGGATCTCTCTGAGTTCGAGGCCAGCCTGGGCTACCAAGTGAGCTCCAGGAAAGGCGCAAAGCTACGCAGAGAAACCCTGTCTCGAAAAACCAAAAAAAAAAAATACATTCATATCGTAAGCATGCTATTTTCATCAGCACGTGCATGTGCCCAGATGTGGCAGACTGTGCACTTTAATATGTGCTGGTTATGCAACAGTGATTCTTCTTTAAAAGCTCTCTTTTAAAAATAAAATAAGTCAGGTGGTGGTGGTGGTGGTGGTGGTGGTGGTGGTGGTGGTGGTGGTGGTGCACACCTTTAATCCCAGCACTCGGGAGGCAGAGGCAGAAGGATCTATGAGTTCAGGGCCAGCCTGGTCTACAAAGCAAGTTCCAGGACAGCCAGGGATACACAGAGAAACCCTGTCTTGAAAAAAAAAAAAAAATTAAAAAAAAAACAAAACAAAAAACAAGAAAAGCACTGACTGTGGGTCAGAGACTTCCTGAGACTGTTGTTCCTGGATACCAACAAGGGGCCAGCCACGCCAAGTCTGCAGGCAGAACCATCTTATTGCTTGTTGAGGAAGCAGGGCGGCCCGCCCGTGTGGCTGATGCACCGTGAAGCTAAGGGGGAAGCCAGCTCATGCCGTGCCTTGGACTCCATGGACAGTGAAGCAGAGAAGCCACCTGCCCAAGTGCCTCTCCCATATCTCTTAAGACTCAGAGCAAAGCCCCGGGTTCCCTCTCCCGTTGGAACCTGATGCTGAGCTTGGTGGTCATAAAGAAGGAAGAGGGCACTGACTGGCCTCACAGTGACATCATCGCAGGGCCGGATTCAGACAAGCCCGAGCACTGGATACGATGGGGCAGTCTGAGAATTCAAGATGAATGGGAGGTTCTGGGCAGTGGCAGCCCTTCTGTTTCCTCTGTGTATGTTGGGGATGGGTGGTTAGAGTTGTGCAGCCGGTGAAGAGGCCCTCGTGTCTGGTGTGGCCTGCGATTGGCAAAGCATCACGGGAAGGGAAGGAAGGAAGGGGCAGGCAGAGGACAGCTCTGAGAGCAGAAGCTGTTGGCAAGTGCTGTCTATGTGACTTATGCCCATGTAACTGAGTCAGTAAAGACTAGAAAGTGGAAATTTAACAAAGAACCAGGGCAAGCCAGGCGGGGTGGCAGCAGGCCTTTAACCCCAGCACCCAGGAGACAGAGGCAGGCGGGTATCTATGAATTAAAGACCAACAAAAGTATGGAAGAACAGGTCTCAAAATAATACTAACAGTGATAATAGTGATAATCAAGGCAGGCACCAGAAGAGCATCCGAGTGTGTGACCTAATGTGATGGCTGCTGTCTTTTTTTTCTTTTCTCCCAGTCCAGAAAGCTGCTAGGCATCCAGGTCGCGTGTAAGTAGAATGGGAGTGAAGAGGTGACCGGACTCAGTCCCGCTTTCACGGTCCTTATGTTCTCTCCCCCTGCAGCTGTTCCTCCCCTCCATGAGAAAGAAGCCAGCTCTGGCTGACGGCAGCAACCCCGACGGCGATCTCCTCCAGGAACACTGGCTGGTGAACGACATGTTCATCTTTGAGAATGTGGGCTTCACCAAGGACGTGGGCAACATCAAGTTTCTGGTCTGTGCGGACTGTGAGATCGGACCCATTGGCTGGCACTGCCTGGACGACAAGAACAGCTTCTATGTGGCCTTGGAGCGAGTTTCCCACGAGTGACCGAGGGGACTCCACGCCAGCTGTACAGCTCTGCCCACCAGAGCCGACGCTGAACCTGTGGCGGTGGCTGCCCTGCCGGCAGCCTTCCCGGTACTAATACAAACGATAAGCACCAGTGTTTGCCCTTGAACTTGCAGAGGGCCGTCCTGCTTCGTTCCAGCCTCAGTGCATGCCACCCCCTTAGTCCTCTGTGCATCACAGCTGTCCTAACCCCACCCCACCCCCACTTTGGAACATGGAAGAACTCTACACGTGTCGTCTGGTCCTTGGCACTCCTGGACACCGTCCAGGGCTCCCTTCCTGCTCAGCAAGAGCAGCAAGCAACTTTTTAGCCATGGTAACAGGAAAAAAATGCTCACTTGCTAATAGTTGAATCTCCACCTTTTTCTCATTCAGGAAGCCCTGTGTAATGGGCGCAGACCTGCAGTCCCACCTCTGGGGAGGTGGAAGCAGGAAGATCAGGAGTTCAAGGCCAGCCTCAGCTACATAGTGAATTCCAAGCCAGCCTGGGCTATGTGAGACGTCTCAAAAAACATAAAGCATACAAGTATTTGAGAGTGACTTCTTTGTATGTGACCTACTTGTCTGTAGCAATTTATTCTTTTTAAAAGTAAAACATTTACAGTTGTCAGTGTTTAAACCACTAATGAGAAACACGTTACTTTAGACATGTTTTCAGTGCTGTGTTTGAGACCCTTTGTCCCAGGTTGGTAGTGACATTTGTAGGGAAGGTGAATGTGGCCCTTCTTCCCGCTGATCTTGACTAGGTTTCTCTTTTCATTAGGGGTCTCCCGGCTGCAGCCTCCATTGTTAACCCTAAGGGAACTCAGCCCTGTTTACCAGGCTCCCTCGGAATCAAGCGTGGAGGATGTACAAAGGATTGCTTAGCCGAATCACCCCTGGGTTTGTTAGGGAAGATTTCTTTACTGGCAGCTGCCATCATTCATCAATGTAGGTTGTAAGGTCCTCGGGATTTGGGTTCACTTGGACTGTCTGTACCCAGGATGCAAACCCTTTCTACAGAGATTTCCATTGTTACGGGGTTGGTACCACCTTTCCTCAATAAAATAGCCGGGACGTGATTTCCGGCTATTTTATCATTTCTCCTCTGGAGTGACCCGGTAGTTTAAAAGGACTCTGTATAAACGGTTCAAATACTTTGCCGTCATCCCTTCCTCTGGGGACCTAACATTGGAGTGTGCAGTAAGTAGAGACCCTGTTATTCTTATAATACCGGCAACCTGGGGGTCAAGGCAGATCAAGGTCAGCCTCAGTTACATATCAAATTCAAGGCCATCCTGTACTGCTGGAGAGCTTGTCTCAGACAAACAAAAAACAACATATAGAAGTTGGAGAGATGGCCCAGCGGTTAAGAGTGTTCGCTGCTCTTTCAGAGGACCTGAGTTCAATTCCCAGCACCACATCAGGGGGTTCACAGCTGCCTGTAGGGCCTGTTCAAGGGGAGCTGCACTCTGGCCTCAACGGTTTGTCTGCACACGGGTGAGGTGCATACAGAAAAGCAGACACACAAATAAGTAAATAAAAATTTTACAAATTAAAAAAACCAAAGTTCCAGCGAGGTGTTGGTGGTGCATGCCTTTAACCAGCAGCATTGGGGAGGCAGAGGCAGGTGGATATCTGTGAGTTCAAGGCCAGTCTGGTCTACAAAAAAGCAGGTTCCAGGACAGCCTGAGCTATTACACAGAGAAACTCCCTTTGCATCTGTTTCCTGGCTGTTCCTTCCTCACTGAAATTTGTTAAAGTACAGGCCCTGGGCAGTTTTGCCAGCACCCTGCACACTTAGTGGCTTTCACTCAGTCTGAAGGGGCTCTGGCGGCAAAGGAGAGACCATGTTTTCCAGACATAGGTGAGCACACCTTAGAACGGTGTTTGCAGGAAAACAGCTAAGACTGACCCACTGGGGTCCAGAGGAACAAAGCAAGCAGATGCCTCTAAGGACATGTGGCCCTTCTCTTCACAAGCCAGAGACCCAAAGTAAACCAGGTTTTTAACTCCCGCCCCCTTTTTAAACCACAGAAACAATACATGTTAATTGTATATCAAAGTAAGGATCAGTAGCCAGGTGGTGGTGGCTCACGCCTTTAGTCCCATCGCTCGGATGGCAGAGGCAGAAGGATCTCTGTGAGTTCGAGGCCAGCCTGGGATACAGAGTGAGTTCCAGAAAAGGCTCCAAAGCGACACAGAGAAACCTTGTCTCGAGAAAAAAAAAAAAAGAAATAGTATAGAGTTCTCATTAACTCACACTTCCACTGGGCAGGTCTTGCCAGTGGTAACGTGTATAACCTCAATGTCTTTCTGTGTGCAAACGTATGCATGAGAGCATACTGTACTCTTTTATTTTATATCTTGTTATTTTTCATTTAACGAAAGGGGAACATCTTCCTTATCAGTAGACACCCAGCCCTGAACACTGTTGCCAATGCTCGCGTTGCTGGGCTATAGTTCCGGTGACCCACGTTGCATTGCCTCCAGCTGCTCCTAACCGTGGACACGGCACGCAGGGTGTTAACTGTGTTTCCGGTCCTTGGTGTGCATTGTAAGGAGTGCAGTTGCAGGGTGGGCATGCTGTCAGAGCCCTGCAGTGTGGACACATTCTCCACAGCAGCCTTGTGAGTTTCCTGCCCCTTACTAACGCTGGGTATTCTTTATCATTAAGAAACACTTGCAGCTTCTGTAAGTATCTTATTGTTTTATTTGTACTTATTTCTGGTTAAAAATTTTCTGGCCACATTCTTGTTTTAGTTTGTTTGTTTTGAACTATATAGACCCAGCTGGCCTCAAACTCAACTTGTTTTTTTCAAGAACTGCCAAATGTTGTTGACCCAGTGACTAAAAAACCCTGAACTACTGTCCTGCCTTTTCATTTAATAAAGTCATTGAAACAGTGAAGTTAGGCTCCTGTCTGTCTTTGGCAGAACATGTAACTTGTGCAGAGCAGAGGAAAGCCAAGTCCTGAGCCGCGGTGGTTAGCTTCGCGGCTCTGTGGACAGGCTGACCCGTCACTTAATATGGTCTGTCTGTCTTCCTCATCAGCCTCCCACCCCTTGACGGATTCATGACATCAAGCATGAATAAGACATCTTGCTGAATCTCTTTGGAATGGATCTTTTCTCCATTAGAGTCCGTTTTAAAATCCCATGTCTTACAAGTCTGGCATGTGAGATTTTAATTGCTCTGTCACAGCTTTCTCATGAATCCTAGAGATGCCTGCTCCTGCCTCCTGAGTACTGGGAGTAAAGGCGTACACTGCCACACGGGGCGCTGTTTCTCTCTCCCTCTCTCTCCCTCTCTCTCTCTGAGACAAGGCCTTATGTATCCCAGGCTGGCTTCAGAATTGGTGTTGCCAAGAATAATCTTTTACTTTGCTACTTCGAGAGTGCTAACTAGAGCCTGAGCATGCTAGGCTAGCACTGTACCAGCTACATCTCCAACCCTGTAATTTCTTTTTTGAAAATGTACATTATAGACGATAGCACATTTTTAGTTGTGTGTCTATGATGTCCAATATTTCTCTAACTAATATAATTCATAGACTGTTTTGTGAAAAACTCTCCTTTTGTTTTTTTCCCTTCTCATTATTTGCTAATAATGAGCTTGTTAAAAAAAAAAAAAGAAAAAGAAAGAAAGAAAAGATGGTCTGTAAACAGTGTCACCTCTCTGTTCCTCCCCTGTTACAGGGCCTCTGGTAGTACTTGCATTTCCACCACTGCTGCTTGCCTTAGGTGGACAGAGGTAACCAGTGGTTGCTGCTGGGAATATAGCCTCTGTTGTGGCTGTTCACTAGAGAAGACTGCTCAGACTTGGCTTTAAGCCAAAGTCATTATTAGCTGGCCAACGGGTGTTCAGGGTCCCAGTGTAGCACAGCCTTCTTCAGGGTGAGCTTTTAAGCACAAAAGCCATATCCTGAGTTGATATACTTCCTTTAAGAACAGTTAACCAAGGCCAGGCGGTGGTGGCTCACGCCTTTAATCCCAGCGCTCAGGAGGCAGAGGCAGGTGGATCTCTGTGAGTTCAAGGCCAGCCTGGTCTACAGAGCAAGACCCAGGACATACACCAAAACTACACAGAGAAACCCTGTCTCGAAACCCCCCCTCAAAAAAAAAAAAAAAAAAAACAGCCAGGGGGCTGGAGAGATGGCTCAGTGGTTGGGAGCACTGGCTGCTCTTCCAGAGGACATGGGTTCAATTCCCAGCACCCACATGGCAGCTTACAACTGTCTGTATCTCCAGTTCCAGGTAATCTGACACCCTCACCCATGTACATACTGGCAAAACACCAATGCACATAAAGTAGAATTAAAACAACAACAAAACAGACAGAGGTGGACCCATGGAAGCCAAAAAGCAAGGGTAGTACATTTAGAGACTTTCCCAGAATTCTTGACTTTGATGGATTAGGTCTTTGTCTTTTTTTTTTTTTTTTT